AGCTAAACCGACATAGGGGCGAGGGACCCACCTTCACGTGCCTTCTTGTGCAGTGTCACTAAAATCTGAATATCTCTAAATTCTGAAGTTGTATGGACAAATGATTTAGTGCATTGGAAAGTAAACTCATAGACCTTCGATTTCATATATTGGGGTTCTTCTAAAGCTTTGTAGATTGGGAGAAAAGCTCCGAGACATTTAACCCAATTTTCAGAAAATTTATCAAAGAAACTTACTCTAACTTTTACCAACTTTTTATTTCTCAACTTGCTTGACTTCAAAACTTAACTTACGATCATTGGGTGGCTATATCACCTTATAAAACATCCCTATTAGCATATAAGACACTATTTGTCTTATCCCAAAAGGTACCGGTTAACTTAAGCGTTCTGAACGAGCGAGGTGTTAGAATAGACATTCTTTAACTCGAACTTGTTTAAGGGCATCCTTGACCCATAACGTTAGTCTAATTCTTTGATTTTTTTACCTACCCTTTGCAACCTTATTCTTCTGAAATAATACACCAAGTCATATAAAGCTCATACACTCATGCAATGATTCATATACTATGCGAAAGAACCACAGGGTCTCACAGTTGCTATAGTTGCCTTCCAAGATATAGTTTACTAAAGGTGAGAGATTCCCTTAGTTATGAGAGTTAAGCTAATAATGAGGCCAAAGGAGGGTGGAAATGACTAAGATGACTTCAAGGTTATGCTTAGTGTAAAGGGGAGTATGGGATGCCTTTCATACATTGCACAAGTGTGTTTTCAGGTTACTTTGAAGTATGGGGCTCTTATGGCATAGAAAAGCTTAGAGACTTGACCATGTATATAGACTATGATTAAGATGACCAAAAAGGGATACTTGGCTTCAGTGGTATTATGGGATGCTATTCATGCTTTGCACTTGTATGCTTTTGAGGTTACTTGGGAATGGTTCTATTATGGTAGAGATGACTAAGAGTCAATTATGTTTATATGATGCTTATGTAGGAGACTATGCTATGACTATGATGATTATGTTATGACTATGTTATTATGTCTTATGCTTATGTATTATGTTGACTAACCATTTTGAGATGCTCTTATGATGTTGTGCTAGCTTGCATACTTGGTACATTTTGTATTTAACGCATATTGCCTACATTCTATTCAAATCTAGGGTTTCGAGATTGAGTTCCTTGAAGGCTAGGTTTCCAAGAAGCAAGGAGAGTTGAAGAATTGGTGAGTCCTCATAGGTTCGAGGACAAACCCATATTTCATTTATGTCATTTCTTTATGTTTTAGACATTGTATGGGCTGCGTCCCAAGTCTTTTATTCAAGAGTTTAATAGATGGTTTGAGACAAGGGTTTAGTAAAGACTTTCGTTTGCTTATTAAAATGTTTTCGATTGTATGGTTTGAAAAAAGTTTTAAATTTTCCATACTTTTCTACTGTCTTATGTTGTGATTATGCTAAGGGCTTGTATGCGAACCATTTGGGGTCAAGTACGCCATGTTACGTCTAGGGGGTACCCCTGGGTTGTGACAAACTTGGTAATTAGAGCACAAGGTTTAGAATGTTTTTAGAATTGTCTCAAACCACGTCTAGTAGAGTCTTGTTCATAAATGTGAAGAGTGCCACATTTATGAATAGGAAGCTATTGTATGTTTAGGAAATCTCACTTCATCATTCTCTTAGTCGTGCCGTAGAGTTTGGCATTATTAGGTCCTTTTTCTAATCCGTGCCCTATGGTTTTGCAGGGTATGGCAAATACAAGGGCTAATGCTAGGAGGGTTGAGGAAGACAATGGAGAACAAGAGGTTCCTATTCAAGTTCCAACCAAGATCCTCATCAAGCTCCAAATGACCCTCCAATTGTGAATGTCACTCTTGCAAAGTTTAGGGCTTTTATGCAATTATTGGCTCAAGCCTTGACGGTGCAAGCCAATAGAGAGGTGGTGGCTTCGGCAAACCCTATAAGGGGGATGGGTGCTTCTAGGGTAAGAGAGTTTTTGAGGATGAACCCTCTGGAGTTTAGTGGTTCCAAGGTAGAAGAGGATCCAAATGGGTTCATAGAAGAGCTTTATAAGACACTTGCTATCATGGGGATGACTTCAATAGAGAAATCGGAGCTAGCTGCTTATCAACTAAAAGATGTTGCCCAAATATGGTATGAGCAATGGAAAGATGCTAGGCCGATATGAGCGGGTACTATAGAGTGGGAAACATTTAAGTTGGCTTTTCTAGATAAGTTCTTTCCTCGGGAGTTGAGGGAGGCTAAGATGGAAGAGTTCATCAATCTTAAGCAAGGCAACATGAGTGTTAAGGAGTATGCGTTGAAGTTTACTCTTTTGTCTAAATATGCCCCCATCCATAGTGTCAAATCCGAGAGATAAGATGGATAGGTTTTTGTCGGTGTGTCCGACATGGTAGCCAAAGAATGCCGTATGACAATGCTTGTTGATAATATGGATATCTCACGCCTCATGATTCATGTCGAACAAATGGAAGAACAAAAAATCAAGGAAGAAAAATCTAGGGAGAAAAAGAGGTCGAGGATGGCTAATGATAAGTCCTTTCATGATGTGTCCGATGGACATGGTCGTTCTAGGAATCGACAAAAGTTTTCCGGACATGGATCTTCTAATTCTCCTAAGCATAAGGATGAGAGGGTGTCTACCCCTAGGCCACAAGGGATAAGTAATGAGTGCCTATGGCCCTCTTGTGCTAGGTGTGGTAAGAGACATGAGGGTAGGTGTTTGGTCGGTAGAGAGGGTTGCTTTAGTTCTGGTGAGAGGCCTCATGATGAAAGATTTCCCTAAGGCTAAGGTTACAAGAAGAGAGGGTAAGCAAGTTGCCTCTAGTAGTGGGGATGTGGAGCCTCAAAAGAAGAATAGGTTTTATGCTCTCCAATCTAGAGAAGATCAAGAGTGATCTACTCATGTCCCTTCCGGTATGTGCTTCATGCTTTAGTAAATTTTCGGACTTTTTGTGTTTTGTGACTTGCTATGTTGAACTTTGAAGTTTCTTTTAGCATGTTAGATGTTTAGAAGAGTTTGTGTAGGCTTACTCCCAAAGGGGAGATAGTGTTCCTATTTAGTAAGGTTATTGTGTGTTTATGTGTTGCCATGATTTCCTTATATACATATTTATGAAAATGCTTAGGTCTATTTAGAAATGACTTATATGCATTGTTTTCCTCGCGTTGTAGTGCATTTGAGTAGATTTTCATATAGACTTCATGAGTTGATTATGAGCAAGCCTTAGTTTGGAGTTGAAAGATTCCTCCTTGAATAAGTGCTTTTTAAGAGTGATTTGCATTTAGGCTCCATGTGTGTGTGTTGAGCATGTTTTAGCTAGGAGATGTTAGTTCCTCCTTGAAAATGAATAGATATAGAATTTCATGCATTTTCGGTTGGTAGAAGTAGTTCCTACTCCCTTGTGTTGCATTGAATGTGTTTAGCTTGGAATTGATGTTTTCTTCCTTGGTTGTGTGCATTTAGATGTAGTGCATTGCTATGATGGGCTGTTAGCTTAGAGTTGTGACTTTAAGAAGTGTTTAGAATCGTCATTCGAGGACGAATGATCCCAAGGGGGAGATATTGTAACACCCCGGAAACTAGCAAGTTGAACTAGTGAGTTCTAGAGCCTTTCGTAAGAGGTTTGCAGTGTGGTATGAGGATTAAAAGTTGTAAAACTGATTCCCGTACTTAGAATGGAGGTTTAAGGGTAAGGGC